CCAAGAGTGAGCCCTAATGGAAACTATGGACTCTGGGTGATAATGACGTGTCTGTGCAGGTTCATCAGTTGTAACAAATGTATCACGCTCGTGAACGATGTGATCATGGGGGAGGCTATGTGTGTGTGGGGATTGGGTCTACGTGGGAAATCTCCATACCTTCCACTCAATTTTGCTGTGAACTGGAGACTGATCTAAAAAAACAACAACAACCACAAAGTCTATTTTAAAATTTGAAAAGCAGCTTACAAAACAATATGTTAAGACTTATTTCTGTTGAAGGCTGGGCAAGCTCACTGTGGTTGCCGGACTTGGGGGCAGGATCTGCCCTGCCTGGCCCCTCAGGAAAGGACATGAGGGTGTTTGGTATATATCCTGCAGATGAGGGGTTTCACAAGGCCTTGGAGGGGGAGCCACTGGGGTTGCCAAGAAGGGAGCCTAGGAGCCTGCTGTTGCTACAGCTATCTTGTCACCAGGAGGAGAGCTTGTCGAGAGAAAGAGGCAAAGCAGGGAAGCAGAACAGAGAAAGACAGAAAGTGAAAGTTAGAGACCAGATGACAAGGTTTGATTCTTTGGATCCAACTTGGCTTGAAGCTCGTCTATTCCTAGACTCTTCTGATAATAAATTCCTCCCCTGGCTTTCTGTTGCTTGTAACCAAAAGGGTCTGTGCTCCCTAAACACAAGCTCCCAGCTTGCTCACTTTGCAACGAGCCAGTCACTGGAGATGGATGATGGCACACATGTGGCTTGCCAGGCGTTATTTGGCAGCACTTGGAACCCTTCCTTGCAGTGGGTACCGTCAGCATGACACATCGGGGAAGGGGCATCCTGGGCCTGCCCCCTTTCTGGGCCCGGGGCCTCAACTAAGGGTCCCCAGGGACAGAGGAGGCTCCTGCTTAGGGGTGCTTCTGCTTTACCTCTGCTTAAAATTCTCCCCTCCCCATGCTGCAGTGTCTGCCTCCTTAGCCTTCTCTGTGGCTTCCTTAAACACCTCCTCTTCTGAGAAGCCTTCCTTGACTACCTGGCTGAGGGAGACCATTCTGTCAAACAGAGCTTCTGTTTGCTCTGTGAGTGACTCCCTTCTAACCTCGATAAGGTCAGCACAGGGGCTGTGCCATTCACCCCTGTGTCCCTAGATCTTGGCAGAGTCTAGCAAGATAGTGGGAGTGTCATCAATCACTGTTTACCGAGAAAATGAGAATATGCACAGATAGATGGATACGGCTGGCAAGAGCCTATTCTGGGTGCAGACCATGAGAGTAGGGCTCTGTGCAGGGCCTCTTTGGGGGAGCAGTATTTTCTTGTTCATACCAGGGGCGCACAGTGACACCAACCAGAGGACATACTGCAGCTTCAGGTTTTGACTGAGACAGAATTTTCCTTCCAGTTGGGGGGGGTCTGACCTGAAATCAGGTATGAAGCCAGGAGCTGGAGCCTAGGTATCGCCTTCCAAGTGGGGTGTTGAAAGCCGAGGATGTCAGGGCACCTGGGTGGCTCAGTCGGTTAAGCGTCAGCCTTTGGCTCAGGTCATGATCCCAGGGTCCTGGGATCGAGCCCCGCATCGGGCTCCCAGCTCAGGGGAGAGCCTGCTTCTCCCTCTCCCTCTGCTGGTCCCCCTGCTTACGCTGGTGCGCTCTCTCTCTCTCTTTGTCAAATAAATAAATAAAATCTTAAAAGAAAGAAAGAAAGAAAGAAAGAAAGCCGAGAATATTAACAAAAGTCAAAATCAGGCCCACGACTGAGGAGCTGGAGAGCCAGCAGGGCTGAATACAGGGCTGGGGGTGGGGGACCAGGGCCACGGGCCCAGCAGCAGGGAGCAAGACCCAGATGGTAGGGGATAAAGCACAGACAGCATCGAACGATCCAGTCCACATGGTCAGAAACTTCTTTCCTCTTGCAGTATTGTCCAGTCCTTCTGAGTAAATCGAAGACAAGTCTCAACTTGGTGATGACGGGTCCTTAACACCTGTCTCTCTGTCTCTTTGAACAAAGAACCTCTGGCGGCCTCACCTTCAAGGCCTGTCGCAAAGGCCTGTGAGGTGTACTAACGGCAATAGGTTTCATTGTGAGGATTTTTAGAGCTACCTTCCTAATTATAGCAAGTGATTCTGATTCTGATTTTCCATCTAGAGCGGTAACCGGAAGTTTCTTTTTCAAAGAAATTTACATAAGCGAAAGGGGGACTGCTGAAAGGAAAATGGCAAGTGGATGATGGAACAGGTGGTGGCATTGTGGGGCCCCAAGGGGAGGGGGTGTGTGGCTGAGTGGGGGGATGCCGGGAAGGCAGCGCTTTGCTGAGTTGCTGCAGGAGGGACAGGAAGCATCTGGAGAGCCCCTGAGCAAGTACCCCTCCCCCACCGGCAGGTGGGATTGCAGCTCCTGGGCAGAGTTACAGCCAAGGGAACTTCCAGAGCAAGGGGCATGCTGGGGAGAGCCCACCCTGAACTGAGCCTCCTGGCTGGCCGGCCCTGGCCCAAGCTTCCAGACTGATACTGCGCCCCCAGGTCTTGCTGGGTGACCCCCAATGACCTCTTGGAATTCCAGCCCAGGATCATTCTGTCTGCCCTGCCTGCCAGACCGCGTCACTTGAATGTGGACACCCCAGGCCTGGTCCTAGAGCTGTCCCTGTCTCCCTGGGTGACCTTGAGGGAGTTCCTTCTCCAGGCCTGTTTCCCACCTAGAAACAGAGACGAGAGAAATGATCTTTAAGGGCCCTTTAAGGATGAGAGGACCAGGGACATATCCCTACCGCCTCCTCTCCTCTCTCCCCTCCAAAGTCGGGCTCAGTGGGAAAGGCACAGGCTGGGGGTCACACCGGCCTGAGTTTAATTTCCTGTTCTACCCATTGTGAGCTGTGGGACCTCGGGCAAGTCACTTCAGCCATCAGGGTGTCTGTGTCCTCATCGGTAAGATAGGATAAGAATATCTCCTGAGCAGAGCTGGGCTGGCAGTGATGAGGAAAGCCCGGGACACACAGCTGGGCTCCAAAAGTGCTGGGGAGCTCTGGGTTTTCACACGCAGTGCCATCCTCCCATCCTGGCTCGGGGTCAGGCAAGAGACCCGCATCCCAGGCACATGGGCTCACCAGGTAACTTGACCCCAGCCAACAGGAGGCCTTCATGGGAACAAGCCCCCTCAGGCTTAGGGCCTGAGTGCCCAGAATGGGGTTCCTGGACCTGGGTGAGGCTGGCACGGTACTCCCACCTGGTGCTCCCTGGGTCCTGGATGGGGGCACGCGGACAGGAGGAAGCCTGGGAAGGGAGAAAACACCTCTCTGCTTGAAGTGTTGTGCACCACACTGTATGTGTTCAGACCCCAAACCTTGCAGTTCGGATTTGAGGAGGAGATTCCCACCCCTCACCTCGTGCCAAATTTGATTCCTGTCTTTCTTGATTGTCCCTTTCTCTGAAGCTGGTTTCTCCCACGTCGACCCTTACGTGGAGAGCTACCTCTTTGCTCGCCCAGCTTCTTGCTGGAAACTCCTATTAAACTTCCCCATTGGGCATTTTTTTCCTTCTGAGTGACTATTTGGGGCACCTGAGAGTCGAGGTGGCATTTTACATTTGATGAAATGACTTACACAATCAGGAAGGTCTTCTTTACCATTGCAAATAGAGTCACGGCCTTTTATTTTTCCACTGAACACTTTAATTTTCTCTATGCCCAGATTTTCAAGAGGTCCAACGTCTCGCACTCAAAGTGTCCTTCTCCTGCAGTAAATTGAGAGACCTGAGGCTTTCTTTGTCCCAAGGTGTCAGGCTGTTTCTCGCCTCCAGAGCAGAGCCTGATTGGGCCACTCCAGCTGCTGCCACACGGTGTCGCTGTTGAACACATTCTGGTGCAGTTTGGTGAAGGCCCCTTCCCTGCTACAGGGATCCCTTTGCTGAGCCTGGATCCCTGCACGGGCCAAACTGGTGCCCCGCATGAGGATGCCAAGTTACAGGCTCTTTATTTCACCCTGATAAGCTCAGCCAGATGGTTTAGGTCTTCAGGGACTTCCAGCCTCAAGCACATATTGCCCCAAACCAGCCTGGACCATCGGCTTCAGGCCCGGTGTTGAACCTAGGTTATAGGTCCAGGCTCCCCCTCCACTCTGGGCTCCTGGTGTCCTTTCCTGACAGCAGACTTCAGTCAAGGGCATCCCAACCCATCAGAGGGGTTCCAAGAACATTGCTCCTCAAATGGGAAGGTGTTAAGCATTCAATCTCTGTTCTTCCCAGAGGCTGCACTGGGTATCATTCCCCACCTCCTTTTGGGGCTATGTCTATATAACTCAGGGAGCCTCGTCAAGGGCCAGGTGCCTTATAAATGAAAACCCACCTGGACACTGAGTTATAGCATCCTACCAGAGAATTGTTGGCAACTTCCTTTGTTTGAAACTGCCTTGTTTCACAGAATCTTATGACAGGATGACGTTCTAGCCCAGTATCCTCCCACCTTTGAAAGGGTAACATACACCCCACCCCGGTGACAAGCTGGCCTTGAGGAGCCATGGGTGAGCTTTTGTTTTGCTGAGCCGGGTCTACAGGCTAAGAGAGAAGAGCTAGAAGAGTTAGGATGATGGTGGGGATCTTTGCAGGCAATGCCCAGGGAGGAGGAGCAGAGAGGAAAGACAGACAGCTGGTGGGGAGAGCTGCCTGGAGGAAGTGGGTTAAGCTTTGTCCGGGGCGTGCAATGTAAACCTCCCCTCCAGTGACGCCCAAAAGCATCAGGAAGCTGGATCTTACTCTCCGGCATTTTGGCAGCTGGGTTTGTGGTTTCCAGACGAGGTGAGCCTGGCATCAAAGGGACCCACGACGCAAGCAGAGGCTTCCGAGGACCCCCGGGGAGCACCTCCGATCCACACAGATGGGGATGCGGAGGACCAGAGGAGGGGCTTGTCCGAGGTCACCCAGCAAGTTAGAGCCTCAAGTGGCTCCTCCCACTAAACACGACCCCCCCCCCGCCCCCCCCCCAACAGCGCCGCGAGCCGCGGCCATCCGCAGTCTCCGGCCCGCCCGCCAGAGGGGCTCAGTACAGATATTCCCGGACCGTGAGCTCCTTCAGCGTGAAGCCCCAGGGGCTGGGCTTGCGGAGCTGGCTCTCCTGCAGCTTTTCCTGCAGAGACACGAAGTCCTTGCCCAGCGCGTAGGCCAGGCGGAGCATGGCGTCCAGCAGCGGGGCGTAGTAGCGGTGGCCCTCCCGGGCCTGCAGGCACTGGAGCGCCCTCTCCCCGGCCGCGAACGCCTCGGCCAGCCGCTCCAGGTCCCGGTGGCAAACGAGCATGGCGCACAGCGCCGGGACCAGCATCACGGGGCAGTGGGCCGTCAGCTTCTCCTGCAGGGGCACCACGCGCACCAGGATGTCCAGGGCCCGGCCGTACTGTCCCCCGCGCAGGCAGCCGAACGCCTCCCGGAGCTCGGGGCGCGTGAGGAAGTCGATGAACTCGCGGGAGCGCCGCACGCAGCGGATGGCGTAGAGCAGGCTCAGGTACTCCTGGAAGGCCAGCTTGCGCTCGGAGATCATCTCCTCGGTGAAGTTGCCCATCAGGTGCTTCTTGGGGAAGACGATGTCTTCGATCTCTTCCCTGAACGTCTTGAGGAGGCTTTTCTGGAGCATCTCAAAGTCTGAATAGCGCCGTTCCAGCACGGCTTTGTTGCTGTCAAAACTCCCTGTCTGGATGACGACGATTTGGTACATCTGCAGTGGAGAGAGAGAGAGAGAGAGAGAGAGCGCATTTGACTACATCCTAATGGAAGGTTTTCCCCGGCAGAGTGAGCCCCGGCAGATAAAAATAATGATGATGATCATTTAAAGCGGAGCCCGAAAATGGGTTACCGTTCCATGCAATTCTTTTTTTTTTTTTTAAAGATTTTATTTATTTATTTGACAGATAGAGAGCACAAGTAGGCAGAGAGGCAGGCAGAGGGAGAGGGAGAAGCAGACTCCCCGCTGAGCAGGGAGCCCGACGCGGGGCTCGATCCCGGGACTCCAGGATCATGACCTGAGCCGAAGGCAGCCGCTTAACCGACTGAGCCACCCAGGCGCCCCCCGTTCCATGCAATTCTGTTGTAAATTGCTACCAGCATTGGCTGAGCTGTACAAGCGATTGGTGACAAGAGGCCACGCGAGAGTAACAAACACAGCGGCACGGAGGCGGCTCGTGGGACTAGGAGCACAGAAGCAGGTGACGCAGGGCGCCTGGGGGTGCTCCGGACTTTCCATCGTCAAAACTGGGCCTCGGGTTCCTGAACTGGGGAGCTCGGGTTCGGTCTGCGTTTCCCGAGCCTGCCACACGGGAGAGGTGGTTTTGGGTGGTATGCTCGCGGTGAAGGTCAATGGTAAGGAGATGATTGCTTTTCAGTTCTCTTGCAGTTAGAGAATACTAATGAGGGCTCAGGCTCCTTGGGTTATAATTCCAGCCCCGCCACGGTCTAGCTGTGTGGTCTTAGGTGGGTACTTGAACAGCAAGGGGCCTCAGTTTTCCCGTCCAGGAAATGAGGATAGTAAGAGTACCCCCCTCGCTGGGTGAGGATGGAATGAGTTAACGCTCTGCAACCACGGGGGACTGGATTCAACTTGCAGTCAGCACTTAGCCCCCACTATTGTTATCCTGGTCCCAGTTAAGGGGCCAGGAGGGGAGAAAGGTTGAGCGTGGCTCCTACTTGGACCTGCACACCCCCACCGCCAAGGGCTCAAATTCCATTTTTTTTTTAAAGATTTTATTTATTTATTCGAGAGAGAGAGAATGAGAGACAGAGAGCACGAGAGGGAAGAGGGCAGAGGGAGAAGCAGACCCCCTGCTGAGCAGAGAGCCCGATGCGGCACTCGATCCCGGGACTCCAGGATCATGACCTGAGCCGAAGGCAGTCGCTTAACCAACTGAGCCACCCAGGCGCCCTCAAATTCCATTTTAACAGAGAGCAGGCCCCCAAGCCCAGAGCTTGCCGCCAGCCATGGCGTAACCAGCTAGAATCTAATGACAGCATTTAGCTTTCCTTGCCACTTATTTACTTTCAAGATAACCTTTTCTTTATGCTATGTGATACTGGTTTCCCTTTGAAAGATAGTGATTTTGTGTTTTTAAAAAAGCAATCAGATTTAAAGAAAAAGAGGTTAATTATTATCTATCATTATTTTATGCAATATATAATTATTATTAATAATATAAACGAGTGGGGATACCAAAAACTGTGGCGAAGGGACACAGCTGGCTAGTTCTGGCTGCCGTGGAATTCATCTGGGCTAGTTCCTTCTCAGGATCAGGGACCGTGACTCACTCCTCTCCAGTTCGCACAGTGCTTAACACAATGCCCAGTGCAAAATCTTGCTTTTTGACCGTTGTCTCTGTTAGAACTCTGTCAGTCAAGCTGCGTCGGCCCATTTCATAGTGGGGCAAGTTGAGGCCCAGGGCCGGGAAGGAAGTGGTGAAAGGCTCGCCCTCCCTGTCTGATCTCAGCTTACCACAAACTTGGAGACTTTTCTCTCCTCGATGCGGGCGGACGCGACCTCAAAGAGCAGCTTGACGCGTCTCCAGCAGCGCTTCTCCTTCCGCCAGTACTCCTGCAGCTCCCCGGTGGTCATGCTGGAGTTGGGGCTGGGGCCGCCGTGAGCGTCTGGAGGGACGGCACCCGTCAGCACTTGCACCAGGTCAGTGCACTTTGGGGACAAGGGTCTGGGGAGATGGCTGGGTCTGTTGGGGATGGGAAGTCCGAATCTGGAAGGGCCATGCCTTTCCCGCTCCCCGGCCCCGCCCACCCAGACCCCTGCGCCCCAAACCCCACTGCAGCCATCCCACCACCCGCAACCTGAAATAGCCCCGCATCCCCCAGCAAGTTTCTCCATCGGGAAATGCCGCACGTGTGTATTGCACCAGCCACCTCCGGCCTGCAGACTGGCCACTGTGAGACCCATGCTCCTGAGAAGCAGGGATGGTGGCTGTTCCTTTCTATACTCCCTAGGGCACTGACACGGTGTCCTCGCCCGGTGTGGTGGGGGGGGGGCGGGGGGGGGGGGGAGCCTGAGCACATGCCTCAGCGACCAGTGGAGGGAGCCATTGAGGATGTTGGGCTCCAGGCTCAGCCTGGTGGGCCCCTCCCCACTGTCTCATCTCCTTTCCCACGTTCCCTGCTTTTGTTTGCACGTGCTACGCCTTCTGCCTTAAATGCAACCCTCCTATTTCCCTACCTGGAAAACTCACAGCGTCTCTTAGCCCTCAGGTGCCCTGGGGGCCATTCTGATCATCTCGGGAAAGATTAGAATCCTTCCCCACCAAAATGCACCGATCATTGTGCATTTTATTTCAAAGGGTGTGGGGCCCCGGGGGGGCGGGGTGTCCCTTCTCCGTGGTGTCTTTCAAGACCCAGCACACATGTCACTTCGACTGTCCCCTCGCATTAGAGTAAGAGCCTCCCACCTTTTCCCTACAACCTTTCTGGTGACATCTCGAATTATTTTTCACAGATCTGTTTCCCCACCGACCTTGAGGGCCAGCAGTGTTGGATTGGTTCCTGTTTCCCCCCGGGGCCAAGGACAGAGCAGGCGTAGGCTCGGACTGAACCACCGCATGAATGAGCAAATTTTGCTCCAGGAGATGGCGCTGCGGTGGACACAGTCAGCGCGGGGCTGGGCTGCTTCGCACTCAGTGCTCTGCAATGTCCCCCCCGGCTTCCTACTAGAGGCACCTAGGGCTCTCACACAGGGGACTTTCTTGAGCTAAAGCAGCCTGTTCTGGAGCCGGATGAAGGATGGGACTGGCGGGCTGGTGGGTAGTAGCCTGGCCTCCTGGCCTCCTGGATGGGACAACTCTGAGATACGTTCCCTACGGCTTGCAGAAGACCCCCGCTGGGACTGAGCCCAGTTGCCCGCAGCAGTAATCAACACCTTACTGGCTTCCTGCCCTTTCTTTCCTTGATGTACCCTTATGATTCCTGGGACCTTCTCCCAGAAAAACAACAGGCACCAAGTTCTTGTGCCAAGTTGAGAAAGCTACCCCCTCTCCCATGGCACCTGTTGAAGTACCCAATGTTTGGATTCTGAATATCTTCAAACCTCTATCTCTGACCAAGCCCCAAACCCACCTAAGTGCCCTTCGGGTCCTGGACACGGGAGGTCTCGGCCAGCGGCTGATGCTTCCTGCTTGGTCCCAGCCGTGCACTTGGCTATGGGTCCCGTCCATCCAGGGCTCCCAGGGTGCTTGGGACTTGCCATGCTCCAAGACTGCCAGGGGGGCAAGAGACAACAGTGATTTCCCGCTCACGCTGGGGTTCCTGGTGGGTCCTGGGGTGCTAAGATCTGTGTCATAGTCCCCATGGCTGAGCCCTCCCCTGCCCACCTAGCTGTCCGCCCAGCTGTCACATGCGAGGTCTGGGTCTGCTGCCCCTTGGCTGGATTGATCAGTCCAAGGCCTTCTCTTATTGTTACGATGCTTCTATGATCAAGTTCTCTGAATTTTAAATGCCGTGATTTCAAGCCAAGGTAATGGCTTTCAGGATTACTTGGGAGAAAGATGCCGGCTTGTCCTGAAGAACATTCCAATACTCCATTTATGTTCCACGTGTAAATAAAATCTCAGTGACCAAAGTAGGGGTCCAGGGATGTATCCTTCCCATCTCTCTCTCCCTCTCTAAGCAAACACTTACTGACGACTTGTGGAACACACTTCATAGACACCTAGGTTCTTCACATCCACTTATTTCAGACCCACAAAAATCTTCCGTGACTCCCAATCACAGAAGAGGAAACTGAGGTTTAGCCCAAGGTGACGTGGCTGGTGAGCCTGCCCCACAAGCAAAGCCGAATGTCTGTGACGGGTCAGTTTGTACGCTCTGCCTTCAACACCCACTCGCTCACGTAACTGACTCCATGTGCAGAAGGAGTCTTACCTCCATCTTATGATAAAGGAACCAAGACTTGGGGCTGCCCATGATCTGAAGGCTAGTAGGTGAAGCACAAGGACGCAGGTGGAACCCCTCCTCGGGGCCAGGGGAGGGCAAGCAGCAGGAGGGCCGGGGGCTATTTTATGCAGTAACTCTGTGACCCAGATCTGTGAACGAGAGGACCTGGTGCCCGCAATTCTCTGTGCCTCAGTTTCCCATAAGATGGGTATAAGAACGGAGGCTGGCGTGACGGTTCCAAGTTGGGGAGACCGTGCTCAGGGCTCCGCACACACCAGGCGCTGTATAATAGTCCCTGCTATTGATATTGGACACCTGATAATACTTGGAGAAATATTTGAAAATCAGTGACTCTAAATTAAGGTGTAAATTGGAATAGACAAATTAGAAACGGGATGATGAGAATATTAGCTCAGATGGAGCGAGTAGCTGGGGCACCCCTTTGGCACAGAAATCTGCAATCAGAAGGGTGCAAGCGATCTTACGTCCTTCTTCACTCGATCCGAGGGAGGAGCTGCAAGGGGCACACGGGGCAGAGCTGGGACGCGAACTCTGGTCTGCCGGGTCTACTGCATTCCCGGCCCCGTGTCTGAACCCTTCTGCTGACTATGGCCTAGAGGGGGTGGGATTACTGCTGCCGTAACAGAGTCCCAGCTCTGTCCCTGGATGTGACTGAGCCCATCCCACCTCCAGGGCTGAGGGGTCCCCTGGACAGGCCTGGCCTGGGGAGAGCTGAGGTCAGCGGGGGCCAGGGTGCCTCCTTCAGGGGGCAGCTCTTGCTGGCTCAGGTGAAAGGAACCCTGGGCCATTCTCCAGGTGGTTCTGTGCCATTGCCCAGTGCGTGTCTCCCCGGGAACCTCCGTCCAACCTTACTTTATATAGATGGGGAAACTGAGGCACAGAGCAAGGGCATGGCTGGCTCAGGGCTGCACACACTTGAGCCCGCTAGAGCCTGCACACCTCGTTTGTGCTTCTCTCCTTAAGGAGTCAGGCCTTCCATCCTGACCAACTGTGGGCCCGTATGCAAGTTATTTAGTATCTCCAGGCCTTGGTGTCCCCACCTGAGAAGTGTGGTCTCAAGCTCTGTCCTGCCGACAAGACAGTGGTTGGTAGGGGACAAGTTCTCTATATCCTGATAGGTGCCCTGGCAAGGTGGTGAGTGGTCTGCATGCTCTATTACATAGTGGACTCTGGGTGGCCAGGGTTCTTGGAAGCCCAGTGTTTCCTGTGGGCACTCCTATGTCCCTGCCTCAGTTAGCTCATCTGTAGAATGGGTGATGGCAAGCCTCAGTTGTTCCAGCCCTTCCAGCTCTGCTGTCCTGTTCAGGCGACTGGTGCCAGGTCAGAAGCAGGGCACAGTTCTCCCAGAGACCCTGTGAGACCCCAGGAATCATGGCCTTGGCTGGACGTACCAGTAAAGACCTGGGAGAGCTGAGTGTGAACCCAGGGCTTTGAATAAAAATCAAATTCAGCAGCCAAAGCCAGTTCACTTATGTTTTCTCCTACAGGGTTGTTTGGGAGTCACCATGAGGGGAGTGAAAAGGAGGAAGTCATGCACTGGTGCCTGCATGGAGACTTGGCCATCTTCCTGTTCCTCTCTAGGCCTCAGTCTCCTCATCTGTGAAATGGGGAAAACAGCCTGTCACTCCAAAAGCTCTTTGGGGATAATGACACATGGGGTTCCATGGGTACTTCTCTCCCCTCTCCATACCCTGTATAGCAAAGATTTCTAGATTTGACAAGAAAATCCTGCAAATGTTGGTGCTCTTGGGTGGGGGTCCTGTGCTCAGCCCAGGAGACAGAGCAGCTTCCCAGTCCCCTCCCCATCCAGCCCAGCCCCCTCCCCCTCCAGCTGTGTGTGTGTGCAGACATTCTGCTCCTTCCCTCCCAGGCCCTGAGCACCACTCTTCCCTCCGAGGGCTGCCCCCCATGGCCAGGTCTTCTGATGGCTCCACTGGGCTACATTCTGAGCCCATGCTATCTTCCTGAGGGGGCTGCAGAGGACTTTCCATCGGACTGAGACACTGGGTGGGCACACTCACATTTGGGAATCCCCCAGGGGGATGGGGGTGCTGGGAGATTGTAACAAGCAGGTTTCCTGGCTCTTGACATCAGAGAGTCCCATCTGGCAGATCTGGGGATGGGCCCTGGATTCTGCCTGTTGCACTAGTCCCCCGGGGCTATACTGACACTGGAGTTCTCTGGCACCAGTTTTTGAGAAACACCGGTGTGGTGACTTATTCCCCAGCCTCAAGAGGGGTCGTCGAAGTATCTCAAAAGAATTGAGGTGATGGAGGGTCAGGGAGCTGCTTCCTGCTCTACCCCAATGAGCTAAGGAGAGCCCTACACTTAGAAGCTGTCACCAACCCTTCCCTACCCCGCCCTGCCCCCAACAGGTAGTGAGGGAGGGCCACAGGGGGAGGGGGCTCAGGCCACGGGGTGGGGGCGGGCAGAGACTCACTGAGGTTGGCATCAAACACTGACCTGAAGCTTCTCTGGCCCTGTGTGGGTCCAGGGGTCCCGGAAGAGTATCACATGGCCGTCTTCAGCTCCCCTCTGTTCCAGGCTCCAGCGAGCTGCAGCTTCTAAGTTCCCCGTTTGAAAACAGGAAATAGGCTGTGTGACCCGCTCTTGGTGCCCCAGCCCATTGGCTGATGACAGACAGTACGTTGAACCCTGCTGACGGGGTCCCACAGGGCAGGGGCAGGGCAGAACAGGGCAAGGCAGGACCAGGCCCCGAGAGCCCTAGTTCTGAGGGATCCAGTTGGGCCTCACGCAGCCTTGCAGCTAGCTTGGCTGTCCCTCAGAGTCCCAGATAATCTCTGGCATTCCAACAGTATCCCCCATCCCTCTTTAACATTCATTATTCTCCCCTATGAGCTAGGCCTGATGGGGGCCCTCATGCTTCACTGACAAGTGGGGAAACTGAGGTTTGGAGCACAGAGCCAGTGCTTCACGTGGAAGGGAAATGGGGTAAGCTCTCAGTTCCATTTGGTGCCTTTCTCTGAGCAAAACTGCATCCAGTTCTCCCAACAGAAAGTACCGGGGAAGTCAGACCTCTGGGCTGTGATGTGATTCATGGCCACTAGTATTTGTGACCTTGAGGACAGGAGACTGGGACAAAACAACAAAAAAAATAGATAGCCCCCAAGAAGGCCACCATGTGTCTCTTCTCAGCTATGATCCCCTTCTTCCCCATTAGAGGCAGTCCCACTCCGAATTCTGACTGGGGTCACTTCTCTGCTTTTTGTAAATTTACGATCTTTGAATAGACCCCGGAACAATAGAGCTTAATTTTCCCTATCTTGGAATTTTATAAAATTGAGCCACGCATAGTGTTTGTATGCTTTGGTGTCTTGCTTCCTTTGTTCAACATTTCTGTGTATAAGATCCATCAATTTGTATGTGTGTGTAGCTAGAGTTTTTTCATTTTTGTTGTTGTGTTGCTACATTATTTGAATACATCATTATTTCTCCTTTTTTCTTTTTTTTTTTTTTTGGTCTGTGAATGCACTTTTGGGTTGTTTCTAGTTTGGGCCATTGTGATCAATGCTGCTGGGAATATTCTTCTACGTTTATCCAAGTGCACATGTTTATGTAAGGTGAAATCCCTGGGTCTTAGAGTATGAATCGCTGAATAGCTTTCAACTCTCCTGGATTATGGCAAAGGTTTCCCCCCGTGGCTGTGTTTCTGTGCTCCTACCCACCGCCACAGTGCCTGTGAGTTCTAGGTGTTCCACAACCCCACCTACACTGGATGTGGTCAGTATTTTTTTATTGTAGTCATTCTAGTGGGTGTGTAGTGACGTCTCATTATGGTTTTAAGTTGCATTTCCCTAATAAGGAGTGATGTAGAGTATCTTTTCATGGGCTTAGTTTCAATCTTTATATCCTCTGTTCAAGTCCATTGCTCATTTTTATTTTTTTTAAATTTTTTATTGTTATGTTAATCACCATACATTAGATCATTAGTTTTAGATGTAGTGTTCCATGATTCATTGTTTGTGCATAACACCCAGTGCTCCATGCAGAACGTGCCCTCTTT